AACTCTGCCTGTCAAAAAATAAATAAATAAATAAAAAATAAAAAAAGACATTGCCTCCAAAAGGTGCACACTTCAGTACAATGTTTTCAGCCCATGTCTGGCAAGGAACAATCTTATAACAATGTTTTCAGCCTGAGTCTGCGACTGGCCCCCAACAATTACCAAGGCAAAAACCAAAAGCATAGGGGGCAGGTGCTGTGGCGTAGCAGAAAGGGCCACTGCCTGCAGCACCGGCATCCCATGTGGGCATTGGCTTGAGTCGTGGCTGCTCCACTTCCCATCCAGCTCTCTGCTGTGGCCTGGGAAAGCAGTAGAAGATGACCCAAGTCCTTGGGCCCCTGCACCCACATGGGAGACATGGAAAAAGCTCCTAGTTCCTGGCTTCATATGAGCTCAGCTCTGGCTGTTGTGGCTATTTGGGGAATGAACCATTGGATGGAAAATCTCTCTCTCTCTCTCTCTCTCTCTCTCTCTCTCTCTCTCTGCCTTTCAAATAGATAAAATATTTTAAAAAAAAAAAAAGCATAAACAGGGGCTGGCCCTGTGGCATAGCAGGTAAAGCCGCTGCCTGCAGTGCCGGCATCCCATATGGGCGCCGGTTCAAGTCCTGGCTGCTCCACTTCCAATCCAGTTCTCTACTGTGGCCTGGGAAGGCAGTAAAGGATGGTCTGAGCCCTTGGGCCACTGCACCCACGGGGGAGACCCAGAAGAAGCTCCTGGCTCCTGGCTTCTGATCAGCGCAGCTCCGGCCATTGCAGCCATTTGGGGAGTGACCCAGTAGATGGAAGACCTCTCTCTCTCTCTCTCTCTCTCTCTCTCTCTCTGCCTCTCCTTCTCTCTCTGTGTAACTCTGACTTTCAAAGTAAATAAATAAATCTTTTTAAAAAAAACCATAAACATTTGCATTTCAAAAGTTCCCTGGAGACTCTAAGGACAGAGAGGGAAAAATAAAACGTCTAAATTGATCAAGTGATTTTTCCCAAAACATGAAAAATACTGCAACCAAGGTTCATTCACACACTTCTGTTTCGGAGTTACACACTCCTGGCTGGCTTGCCAGTATGATGTGGGCGATGAACTCATTAAATTTTATTTAAAAACAGATTTTGAAAGTCAGAGTTACAGAGAGAGAGAGAGAGAGAGAGCTCTTCCATCTGCTGGTTCACTCCCCAGATGGCTGCAATGATCAAGTCTGGGCCAGGCCAAAGCCAGGAGCTTCATTTGGGTCTCCCTCATGCGTGGCAGGGGCCCAAGATTTGGGCCATCCTACACTGCTTTCTAGTGCATTAGCAGGGAACTGGATCAGAAGTGGAGCAACCAGGACACCAGCCAGTGCCCATATGGGATGTCAGCAACACAGGCAGCAGCTTTACCCACTATACCACAACGCTGGTCCCCTATTAAAACTTCAACCAGGCTCTTATCTCCCACAAAGATAGAAATACTAAGCCGAGATCGGTGTTTTGTGCAAACCAGAGCAGTTTATTTGTCAGTGAGGGAACAAACATACATTTACGTGCAAGTATGGACCGCCCTACACAAAGAAATCCAACTGAGTGGGCCAAAGAATGACCCGCAAACTAAGGAGTAAAGGGAAACTGAAAACAGTACCTGCAAGAGGGAGGCAGGGGAGTGTTTTTGTTTGTTTGTAGGGGAGTTTTGAAACCCTTCCATTCATGGACTGAAGTTCTTGTGCCGAAAGAAAAAAAAAATACTAGTGCTGAAGAGACAGGTATGGTGGCTTGTCACGAGGTCCACGGCAAGAAGAGACTGCCCGCCTGCCTTCCACTCCTGTTATTGTTAGGAAAATGGCGCAGTTTTATTTATGGTGCGATCTACATCCTGACACCATCCTGACTCTAGCCCCCACCGCCATTGCTGGAAGCCAGGTTGCCACCTGGCCCAACCACCGGTGTCAGCCCCACCCCCATCCTAATGGGATTCACTGCTCCTACTTCCCTGCCCCGCCCTCCGGCAAAGTTTTAAAAGGACCTGTTCCTGAACACGTGGCTCTCTCTTCTCTCCTGCTCGCTCTCTCTTGGCTTGTTCCCCTCTCTTGGCTCCTCTCGCTCCTCTCTCCTGCTTGCTCTCTCTTCTCTCATCTCTCTCTTCTCTCCTCTCTAGCTCCTCTCTTCTCTGTCTCTTTTTCTTATGCTCTCCTTCTCTCTCTTTTTCCTTCCTCACCCTTTCCCTCTGGTCTGCTGGGTTTTCCCCAATAAACCCTTTCCCTTACTCTGGTGTCTGGTGTGTTCTGTGGTGGCCTTACATTGGTGCCGAAACCTGGGACTTTACAGTAATAGCCTCTGTGCACAGGTCCTTGATGTAAGGTGCATTGTGGGAAGGCAGACATTTTGATGGACAGGTAAGGAGTAGGGGCTTTCAGCTCTGCTCCCTTCCAAGTGAGGCCTTGCTGACCATGGCCCAGACTTCTCCAGTGCTGAGAGACATGTCAGTACTAGTCCCATGGCAAATAGGGTGGGGTGGGGCCAGGGGCAGGCCCTGAGCCACTTCTGCTTCCCTATCTGTATCCCACATCAGTAGGAGCCAGGAACCTCATGAGAACTGGACTAGCCCTCCCAGAAACATAGTCAGTCTAACGGGGAGACAGATCTGGGCCAGCAGGCCTTTCTGTGCCTGTGAAAGTCCCCGTGAGCCACGTACTCTGTTAGGAGAAAAGGGGGAGCCTGTGACAGCCGCCCTCTGCCTGAAAGCTGCCCATACGTGGCATTTGGCACAAGTCACCACCTCTGCTCAGCAGCTGAACTCACCTCCTCAGCGCCAGCACGGCTAAGGCCAAACTCCTCATCCCGCGGTCCAGTGTGTTTACTTGGTCAGCCCTGCTGCCTTGCTCAGTTTCGCTTCCTACCATTGCAGCTATGCCGGTGAATTGCACCCAACACCCTCCACTTAATTTCCTGCGGTGTGGAGAGGGACAAGAAGGGACCCAGTCCAGGGCAGGGCCCGTGGACGGCTCCCCCTCTGGAGGCATCTGAGCCTCAGAAAGGAGGCGGTCCCAATGCCCCTGCTTTGCAGGAGACATCACCTGTTATGTAGAATCCCATCACTCTCCACTTTCTTCACTTACCACCAACCTGGCCTGAGCAGCCGTTGACCTTCACAGAAGGTTATTTGCCATAGCCCCACAAAGGTCTCCTCTTGCATCCTTGCCCCTTTAAAGACATAAATTGGGGCAGATGTTGTAGTGCAGCGGTTCAGCCACGACCTGTAAGTCCCGGCTACTGTATTCTTGACCCAGTTTCCTGCTAATGTGCCTGGGATAGCAGTGGAAGATGACCCAAGTGCTTGGGCCCCTGCATCCACGTGGGAGACCCGGATGGAGTCCCAGCTCCTGGCTTCAGCCTGGCCCAGCCCTGGCTGTTGCGACCTCTTTATGGGGTGAACCAGAGGATGGAAGATCCCTCTTTGTCTCTCCATCTCTCGATCTGTCAGTCTGCCATGACAGACTGCAAGTCATGCAAGGCAGAGTGACAGAGAATGGGGGGGGGGGGGAGAGAGAGAGAGAGAGAGAAAGAGAGGTCTTCTATTTGCTGGTTCACTTCCCAAATGGTAGCAACAAACCGGGCTAGGCCAGGTTAAAGTCAGCAGTCAGGAGCTTCTTCTGGGTCTCCCACATGGGTGCAGGGGCCTAAAGATTTGGGCCATCTTCTACTGCTTTTCCAGGCCATAGCAGAGAGCTGGATCAGAAGTATAGCAGCTGGGACTCGAACCAGTGCCCATATAGGATGCTGGCAGCACAGGCGGAAGTTGTATGCCACAGCACCAGCCCTAGAAATCTTTTTAAAAATGTAAACCAACCCTGTCTCTTGTCTGCTCAAAGCTCTACAGTGGCTGTCCTTTCGAGAGAGTGAGAGGCCAAGTCCTTATGTTGGCCTACATGGTGCTCCTCGTTCTGGCTCCTAGCCATCTCTCTGCCCTAACTTGGTTCGTCTCACTTTGCTCAAGTCTTCTTGCTGTCCTAGAAACCTGCCAGGCATGGCTCAGTTTCAGGGCTGTGCGCTGACTGGTCTCCGGCCCCTGCCTCCTGGGACTTGCTGGGTGCTCACGGCCTAATGGCTGGCATGCCCCCCTCCTTCAAGATGCCACCTTCTCAGGCTGACCGCCCCTGGCCTGCTCTCCCCACCTGGTCCCTGGCCACCACCGTCCGGCACTTGCAACCTCCTGACTCTGCTCACATTTTGTAACGCCACGGTCTTCATACTATATTAGCTAGTTCAGTTCTTGTCGCCTGTCTTCCCCCACCGGAATGTAAAGCGCTCTCAAGGACGGGTGTGTCGTGGTTTGCTTTGGGCACTGATGTGACCCAGTTGCCTGGCACACACCGTGCCCTCAATCATGACGTGTTGCTTTATGAAACCCTTCCGGCTGTTCACTCATCCGGGCATTTCGCCTGCAGCACACACCTGGCTGGGCTTAGAAGCTTTCACATTCTCACATCCTGTTGCCTGAAGCACAAATTTGGACATACCACCTACAGACTGCAATGTAGACATTCATTGACAACTAGATACTTGTTTACCTTTGTATGTGTGTATACACACACGCAAGAGCCATGTGTGTGTATGTGGGCATGCACAAATAAATCATGTTTTTAAAATTTATTTATTTATTTTTAAAGATTTATTTATTTATTTGAAAGTCAGAGTTACACAGAGAAAGAAGGAGAGGCAGAGAGAGAGAGAGAGTGAGGGAGAGGTCTTCCATCCGCTGGTTCACTCCCTAATTGGCCGCAATGGCTGGAGCTGTGCTGATCCAAAGCCAGGAGGCAGGAGCTTCTTCCGGGTCTCCCACACGGGTGCAGGGGCCCAAGGACTTGGGCCATCTTCTACTGCTTTCCCAGGCCATAGCAGAGAGCTGGATTGGAAGTGGAGCAGCTGGGACTAGAACCAGTGCCCATTTGGGATGCCAGCATGGCAGTCGGCGGCTTTACCAGCTATACCACAGCGCCAGCCCCAAATTTATTTATTTTAAAAGACTTGCTTTATTTCTTTGAAAAGCAGAGTAACACAGAGTGAGAGAGAGACAGGGAGAGAGAGAGAGGGAGAGAGGGGGGCGAGAGAGAGGGAGAGAGGAAGAGAGAGAGGGAGAGAGGGGGGGAGGGGGAGAGAGAGAGGGAGAGAGGGAGAGAGAGAGGAAGAAAGAGAGGGAGAGAGAGGAAGAGAGAGAGGGAGAGAGGGAAAGAGGAATTTACCAGCTGCTGGTCCCCTCCACAAGTGGCTGTAGTGGCTGCAGCTGGGCCAGGCCAAAGCCAGGAGCCAGAATCTTCATTCAAATCTCCCACGTGGGTGCAGAGGCCCAAGCACTTGGGCCATCTTCCATTGCTTTCCCAGGTGCATTAGCAGGGAGCTGGATCAGAAGTGGAGCAGCCGGGACTGGAACTGGTGGCTCTGATATGGGATGCTGGCATTTCCGGCAATGGCTTTAACCTGCTGTGCCACAACACCATCCCTGACAACTTGCTTTTACGATGATCTGGAGGGAGATTTTTTTATTTGTGTGTGCAAAATTCTCTTATGAAAAAAGTCAAGGCTACAAAAGAGTTGAAAGAATCATACAGTGAACACCCACCATCTGGGTTCCACAGAGAATGTTTTGTTGCCGTCGTCACGTGTCTGTCCGTCCGTCCCCCCAGCCATCGATCCGCCAATAGACTTTATTTGCACTTCAAGGTAAACTGCAGACGTTTGCACTCTTTAACCCCTGGACACTTCAGCATTAATGAGAATTCAGCACTTGTTTCCTTTAGAGGGAAAATTTTCCTCCAGTCAAGTGCGCAGATCTTAAGCGTGTACTCGCAAAGTTTGGATGAAGGACTTTTGGATGTGTGCCCCTCCAAGTCCTATCAAAACTTGGCGATCATCCCTGTCACACCCAGAAATGCCATCCTGCCCCTTCCCAGTCAGTCCCCAGCAGAGGCCAATGCGGCTGTGATTTGCTTCCACTAGAGGTTTGTAGTTAGGCTTGTTCTAGAATTTCATGTACATGGAATAACAGAATACATACTAACAATGTTATGAATTCAGTAGGTTTGTTCAGCACCTACTATGTGCTCCCAGAACCATGATGCTTCTTCACCACAAGTAGTGAGTTTGCCCAGACTGCCCAGAAGGCCAACAATCTTTTCCCATCTGGGCAGGGACGTCCTCTAATCGTGTTCTGGCTGAGTCAGGTGGACCTTGTGGCCCATCTGAGCCCCAGGTTCCTTCCGGGGGCCCCACTCCTACCCCCACATTCCAGACAAGCCCTGGAGGCTTCTCCTCAGCCCCGTCCCCACCCACTCACTTCCCACACCAGCATTTTCCTCCATGCTTTTTGGCTGCAGGTGTGCGAGGGGCTGTCACAATCTCAGCCCAGGTCCAGCCCAAGTGGGCAAAAGTACAGGTAGGCAGGCGGCTGGAAGGAGCTGGCCGAGCAGAGGCGGCGTGAGATCCTGTAATCCTGCGGCGGGGCGGCGGGGTGGAGGGTGGGGGTGGGGGGGTGGAGACTAGGCAGGGGCTGGAGAGGGAAGCCTGAAGAGAGGAAACCTCACAGGCCCCGGAGCAGTAGGGGCAGGATGGCCGAGCAGCACTCACCTGCAGCCGCTGGGACCTCGGGCATCATGCTGCTGCCCTCCAAGAAGGACCTCAAGACCGCCCTGGAGGTCTTCGCTCTCTTCCAGTGGGCTCTCAGCGCCTTGCTTATCGGTGAGCCTTCAGCCCTTGCTAGGGTGACCAACCATCCTGGCTTGCATGAGACTCAAGGGTTTGGGGACATGTAATGCTCACGATGGAGATTGTCCCCAAGCAAACCAGGACAGTTGGTGCCCCTGGCCTTTGGGCGTGGCATCTGGAGGATTAGTGAGTGATGTGTGTGTGTGTGTGTGTGCACAGCTGCCAGGGACGGGTGAGCCCTCCGGCGGGGGCGGGGCAGGGTATGGAGGACTGTTATAGGATGATAGGGAGCGAGTCTTTTGAGGAAAGGGCCCTAGCTGCCACCCCGGGGGCTCAAGCAAAGCCTCAGGGAAAGACATTGGCATGACACCAGAGGGAGGCCGTGGGAACCTCTCGGCCTGAGCAATTCAACCATTTATTCATTTTCCCTAACGCCGACAAGCACAAACACTCTGTGCAAATGACTTGGACGTGCTGGCCACCATGTTCTAGAAGCAGAAACAAACCACTGCTGTGGGGGGGGGGTAGTCAGGAGCATGAATTAAGGGCCATTGTAAGCTGGGCCTGGAGCTTGGGGCTAGCACAGGGATGTGACCACGGAGAGGGAGGGCGGCCATTCCTTACCTCAACTCACCACCAGGCTAGGTACCAGAGAATGGGGAACTCAGAGGCCTGCCTGGGCTGGGCAGTGGGACTCCCTCCAGGACTGAAAAGAGCAATGCTACTGTAGGAATGCTGCTAACCAGGACCAGAAGAGACCAGAGAAGGGAATTCATGTGTACTAGGTGCTACTTTGTACCAGACATTTTCCCCATCTATCATTGCATTTTAGTCTAATGCAAACTTTGTTTTTCAAAGACTGATTTATTTGTTCCAGAGGCAGAGTTACAGAGAGAGAGAGAGAGAGAGAGAGAGAGAGAGAGAGAGAGGTCTTCCACTCACTGGTTCACTCCCCAGATGGCCACACAGCCGGAGCTGAGCCAATCCGAAGCCAGGAGCCAGGAGCTTCTTCCAGGTCTCCCATGGGGGTGCAGGGGCCCAAGCACTTGGTCCATCTTCTGCTGCTTTCCCAGGCCAGAGCAGAGAGCTGGATCAGAAGTGGAACAGCCGGGACTCGAGCCAGCCCCCATATGGGATGCCGGCACTGCAGGTGGAGGCTCAGCCCACTACACCACAGCGCTGGCCCCTTATGCCAACTTTCAGAAGTAGATTTCTTAGGCATAATAATTCACACTAATGACCATACCCATAATGAGAGCCAATACTCATATAATATTCACTGCCATTGATTGCACCTTGCCGCACACCAGACCCCGTTTGTTCTAAACCCCTTCTGTGGCTAACAGTCTCCACTGCATGGATGAGGAAGCGGAGGTCAGGTCCATGTGGGGTGCTTGGTCTGCCCAGGGTTGCACAGTTAGGAATTGGAGAGGCTGGGCTGGGAGTGCAGCCCGTAAGGCCCTTGAGTCTGGTCCATAAGTTTTCCTCGTGGTCCCTGCATCTGCTCACTCACTGCTGCCTGGGAGATGGGATGTGCAACTCGCCCCTGGAGTACACACTAGGCCGCAGGGGGGCAGGAGGAAGCCAGGCCTTGTACACATGTAAAGTTTCCTGGATGAAAGGCGAAGAAGGCTTCCAACTAAAGACAAGGACCTCAGCTGGGCTCCAGCGCTCTGCCCACTGAGAGGCTCAAGCTCTGGGGCAGTTTATTCAGGAAAGGGCAGCTTTCCTCATTCTCAGCTCTGCAGCTGCTGGGTCTCAGAGATAATCTGAGGTGAATCTGCCAGGGAGAGGGGCTGGCCTTCAACACCGGCATCCACTGTGAGCTCCGGTTCCAGTGCCAGCCGCGCCACTTCCGATCCAGCTTCCCTGCTAACGTGTCTGGGAAAGCAATAGAGGATGCCGCACGTGCTTGGGCCCCTGCTCCTCACATGGGATGCCTGGATGGAGTGCTGGGCTCCTGGCTTCAGCCTGGCCCAGCCCTGACTGTTGTGGTCATAAGGTGTGAACTAGCAGATGGAAGTTTCTCCTCCCCACTCTTTCTGTCACTCTGCATTTCAAATAAACGGATACATCTTTAAAAAGGAAGGATCTGCTTTGGCCTTGGCTTCAGGGTTTGCAGAACCTTAGGTCCGCGGTCTTGTGGCACCTGTGATGAGTCCCTGCCTAGAGATCCTGCTCTGGCCCAGAAGCTTTAGAACACTGGGTTCTCTTCTACAGGGTGAGTAGCCCTTATCCGAAACCATGGGATCAGAAGTGTTACAGATTTCAGATGTTTTTCTGATTTCAGAGTATTTGCAAACACATAATGAGATACCTTGAGAATGGCACCTCAGTCTAAACACAAAATTCATTTATGTTTCATATCCACTTGACACACACAGCCTGAGAGCAAGTTGATACAGTATTTTAGTGTGCCGGTGTCCCATGAGGTCACGCGTGGAATTTTCCACTTGTCCGGCTATGTCAGTACTCAGAAGGTTTCGGATTTTGGAACATTGCAGATCGCAGCGTCTCAGATTAGGGATGCTCAACTTGAATTCTTGTCCTATCCCCACGCAGTTGGCTTGTTACCAACCTCTCTGCCTTGCCAGCACTAAAACTCTGTTCCCATGTGAGAACAGGGTCTCTGAGCCCTAGAAACTGACACTGCACTGGAGGAGAAAAATGACCATTTATTAAAGGTTGCCCTGGGCCAGGCCCTTTCATAAAGGAGGTTGGAGCCTCTAGGCTGGCATCTCTCCGTCCTCAGTGCAATCCCCAAGCTCACCCCTCAGAGGCAATCATGGTTAATAGTGTTTTGGTCAGATAGGCAGACATGATGGAGATTTACACACACACACGTGCACACACACACGCATGCACATATGCATACCTCCCACACACTCATGCATACATGCACATACCCATACCACACACACACACACACACACACACACAGTCAAGAGGTGGTATATTGTAGCTTTTAAACATACAGTCTGGAGCCAGATGGACTGTGTTCAAACTCCAGCCCTACTACTTACTATCTGTGCAACATTTGATAAGTTATCCTCTCTGAGTCTTGTTTTCCTCATTTGTAAAATGTGTGCACTTAGGGTGTGTTAACCAGGGTAAACTAAGAATGCTGTGGTAACAGTTAATCCTGAAATTGCAGTGGCTTAGTGCAAGTAAATGTTTCTTTATGTTTTTTTTTGTTAAGATTTATTTATTAATTTGAAAGGCAGAATTACAGAGAGGGAGAGGCAGAGAGAAGTCTCCCATCTGCTGGTTCACTCCCCAAATGGGTAAAACGGCCAGGGCTGGCACAGACTGAAGGCAGGAGCCCAGAACTTCATTCAGGTTTCCCACGCGGGTGCAGGGGTCCAATCACTTGAGCCATCTTCTGATGCTTTCCCAGGCCATAGCAGAGAGCTGGATTGGAAGAGGAGCAGCCGGGACTCGAACCAGCGCCCCTATGGGATGCCAGCACTGCAGTCAGTGGCTTAACCCGCTGTGCCACAGAGCCAGCCCTAACAAATGTTTATTTCTTGTTCATGTTAAACGTCCAACATAGGTTGGTAGGAGTCTCTGCCTGCTGTGGACACTAATATTTAGGCTGATGGAGGCACCGTCATATTGTGTTAGTGCAAAATGTGGTGTCAGGGGTTATCACAGCATGAGAGGAAAGCAAATACAGAACTCATATGCAGGCCTTACTACCTCCAAGCAGCAGTGATAGGTAAACAACGAGTCATTGCTTTATTTCCAACTCCCTTAATTACGAGTGAGGTCGAGTTTCTTTTTCATATGTGTCTGAGCAATTATATTTTTCTCTTTCTGCTGACTACCCACACGAGATCTTTGCCCATTCTTCCCTTGCAATTGAGTTGACTCTTGAAGGACAAATTTGAAATGGGTGAAGAAGGAAGGAGCGTTCAGGATAAACAGTAGGCAACTAGGAAAAGGCTAGGCTGAGAAGGAAAACACGGCGCATTCGAAGAGCTGCCAGTGGTTTAAGTGGGAGGAGGTGAGAGGCGCAGACTTGGCGCTTGACACACATTGACTGAAGGATGGATGAGTGAATGGATGGGAGTGGAGGAATGGATGAGTGAATGAATGGGAGCGGAGTCAAAGAGCATTCTGGAGAAGCTGGCTGGGGACAGATTGCATAGGGCGTTGCAAACCATGGGCAAGGAATTTGCACTTCTTCCTCAGGGTCATGTTAGGGTGCGGCATGGGCAGCGTTATCACATTTGTGTGTTTGAGAGACCACTGTAGCTCCCGTGTAGCAAATCTGTTATAGGAAGATAGGGGTGGAAGTGCCCATGCCACGTAGGAGGCTGTGGAATGAATCCAAGTGAGACTTGCTGGTGAACTGGACCAGGCTAGTGGCGATGGGGTTGGAGAGGAGAGAGAAAAAGAGGAGAGATTCAGTTGGGATAGGTTAATAGGATGTGATGATAAGAAGATGTGTGCGAGAGACTGAAGCAAGGCTGAAGGGTCAGGCGCCAGTGTGAGCTGCCAGCAGGGCAGGGGGAGCAGAGCAAAGTGTGAGGAGGAGAATGGCTGAAAGTGGAATGACTACCGAGGACTCTCTTTTGAAAAGATTTGTTTAGTTGAAAGGCTGTGTGTGTGTGTGTGTGTGTGTTTGTAGAAAGCGAGTGAGCGAGCGAGAGATCTTCCATCTGCTGTTTCACTCCTCCAATGCCTGTAACATCTGGGGTTGGGCCAGGCTGAAGCCAGGAGCCCAGAACAAAGTCCGGGTCTCCCATATGGGTGACACGGACCAAAGCCCAAGCACTTGAGCCATCATCTGCTTCCCGCATACATTGATCAGCTGTGGAGTAGCTGGGATTTGAACCCAGTACTCTGATATGGGACAGTGGCAGCTTGACTTGTTGTGCCACAACAGCCATACCCCAGAGGACCCGTAATTTGAGTTTGGCTTTGGGTGTACAGACAGCTAGAAGACCCTTGCAGTGAGCCTGTGAGGAGGCTAGGGCAGGTGCCCATTTTGCAAAGAGGAACTGAGGCACAGGGGGCTGAGTTGCAGGGATAACTTTGACCATACATGGTAAATGGCAGATTTAGGATTCATCCCACACAGGGAACTGTACCTGCGGCCACATTCTCAAGATGTCCCCACTACCGCCTGGGTTTGAGCAAAGCCCAAGGGAGACTGACTGGTGTCTTCTGGACAAGATGCATGCCTTTCTTGAGTTGTTGGAGAAGGCAAGAGTTTTGTATAGTGCTTATCAAAAAGCCTGAAACGGCTGGCCTGTGCTCCACCCTTCCCAGAGATAGACATTTGTAACCTTGTTAGCTCCTTCTAGTCTTGGCTTCCACATTTCCAAATGTTACTATTTGGAATTTCTAAATATTACTATTTTCTGATGCAACCATTGTAGATACTGTCTACTGGCTTCCCTGTATGGAAGATGAGTGTGTGACTGCATACGCTATCACTCCAATTTCCCCTTCTCTCATTTTATCCAAATCATTATACAGGTTTGGTTAAACACTTGACTAGGAAACATTATTCACAATTGAGCTATTTAGTGTACCGAGAGGATAGTTCCTTCATCACACAACATTTTGTGTTCCTGGGAGTTAATAATTGCTTCATTTTGAATTTCTTTGGTTACCTATTAGGTATCTATTAGCTATCATGAATTCATCTGCAAAGGCTCCAAAGACATATTAGTCTCTCAATATGTGCGAGCACATCAGGAATCTGTAAGCTGTCACCTCCAGGATGCTTGAAGAAGCAAACAAAATTTAAGAAGGTGCTCACTCTCATGTCCCTGAGAGTGAATGCCTCCTTAGATTTTGTGTCCTAGGTGCCATGCTCAGCTCCTCCCAGTACTGGTCTTGTTCCTTTCTCTCCTTTGTTGGAGCCCTTTCTTCCTGGATCCCATGTCTTCTTTCTTAGATTACTGTCTTATTTTGGTGAAGTACATCCTCCAGTAGTTTTCTGAGAAAGAGACACGCAGGACAAATAATCTGAAATGAATCAGAAATAATCTACATTCTAATAATCTAATCAAAACAATCTGCATTAGTTTTTTACTTTGCCTTCATAATTGATTAGTTTGGCTGCACATTGAATATCTTATCTGTGTCTTGTGTAAGTAAAGACGTTCCTCAATCCCTGATGGGGTTACAACCCAATAAAACTATTGCAAGTTGAAAATATCTCATGTTGAAAACGCATTTACTACATAACTTGTGGGATGTCAGAGCTTAGCAACACAGCACAGGGTACAGCGTTGGTTGTTTCTCCCTTGTGATCACAGGGCTGTTTGGGAACTGTGGCTGCCGCTGCCGCCCAGCATCGTGGGAGAGGATCGGGCTGGCATATTACTAGCCTGGGAAAAGATCCAAATTCAGAACTTCAAGTACAGTTTCTATTGAACGCGTATGGCTTTTGCACCATTGTAAAGTCAAAAGGAATCATGCTGAACTGTCATAGGTTAGGGACTGTTTGTATTTGAGTCTAGAGTCTGTTTGGTTCAAGTTTTATCAGAGAATAATCTTCCCATCGTCCGGTTGTGTAGTGGAGGGGAGAGACTTGGAGTGCTAATTGGTTCCTTGGCAAACATCCAAGCAGTCCCCTGGGTTTTGAGCTCTGAGCTTCATCCTTGCCTTTTGTGACACCTGGTGCCTACAAATCTCTAGATTCTCCTGTGCAAACAGGCTTGCTTCTTGGAGGCATCACCCTTGCAGGTAACTAAATCCCGGCTCTCTTCGCTCTCAGTCTCCTCCTCCTCCTCCATCTTCTTTCCAGCATCAGATGTTTGCTGATAAGTCACCCACTGTAGGCATCTCTCCAGTTCTCTTTCAGTTTTTCTCTCTCTCTCTCTCTTTCTCTCTCTCTCTCTCTAACTCTGCCTTTCAAATATATATAGAGAGAGACAGAGAGACTATCTTAAAAAAAAACATTTAGCAATACTTTTTATGGGGCTCCAGCAAGCTGTTGAGACAGAAACTTGTGCTTAATCTGCTACGTTCAATTCCAAATGTTCTCTGTCTTCCTTAACCTTTGTTTTGACCCACTTTCCTACACAGTCTTAATCATGGCCGTTTTAAAAACAGTCCAGTAATAATTTGAAGTCCGCGTGGCTCCCCGTGTGACTCATCCGCAGTAACCCTTTCTGATACTCTCACCGGTAGTGGCCCTGTCTTCTGGGAACTTTGCTTGGTGGCGGTGGGGGCAGTCTTGTCACTTGCTTCTTTTCTTGTTGGCCGTCTTGTGGGCTTGCAACCTGGCTGAAGCTGGGTCTTCGCTCTGCCTGACGGTCTCCCCGCCAATGCCTTGCAGCTGTGGTGGCATGGAGAGGAAAGCAGGGCTTGTGGGGAAAACTATGCCAGGACGCGTTGACCTCTGGTGGCCCATCCCTGGCTCTCTGCCACTGAACACATTGCAGATAGTCAGAGCCTGGCGCTGGGGCGGGGCCCGGGAGAAAGGCTTTCCAGTGTGAAGCAGAGCTGCAGAGGCGGACATCTGTGTGCTAGAGCCAAGGCCAGACAGGAGAACCGGGGCTGCAGGCATGGGCGCGCTTGGGGCCTGGGTGGGCGTGCGCATGACAGAAGTCGGGGAGGGAGGGTGAGTGTGAGGGCGTGAGAATGCGTTCACAATTCGGTAACTCTGGCCTGGGCCCTCTCCAGTAAGCACAGTGATCCTCGTCAACCTCTACCTGGTGGTGTTTACGCCCTACTGGCCTGTCACTGTGCTCATTCTCACCTGGCTGGCTTTCGACTGGAAGACCCCTGAGCGAGGTGAGCACCCTGCTGGCGCCGCAGTGCCACAGGCCCTTCTCTCTTCTTTCCTTGTCATCCTGAGAGGCTCGGCCAATTCCCCACAGCTGGAGATGCTGAGGGAGGGGTCCTGGGCAAGTGATGGGAAGACCCTGGCCACAGCTGGAGTGGCTTAGGGGGAGGGGCAGCTGGTGAAACAGAGCTAGCCGGTCCTACGTTAACGGCCCCACAAGCCCGCCTGGGTTGTCACTTAAGAGGCCAGAGAGCAGCAGGGGGTGATGGGAGAGAACAGCAAGGGGTGATGGGAGAGGACAGAGGCAGTGGACAAAGGTCGGCACTGGTGCGTCTGCTTTCAGGTGGCCGCCGGCTTACCTGTGTGAGGCAATGGCGCTTGTGGAAACACTACTGCGACTACTTCCCTCTCAAGGTGAGCAGCCTCAGATGCCACCCCAAGCCCCAGCCCAGCCCTGCCTCCTGTGCCAGCAGCTGGGCCAGGGAGGGGGCAGAGGGCCTGGCAGCCATCCACTTGGCGGCCTGCGGCAGTGCCACGTGCCGGAGTTGGACGTCTTGCCAACCTGCATGGCCGGCCCCAGCAGCCCTTTGCCCGGGTCCCCTGCCACTGCCTGGAGCCCTGCTGACTCTGCCTTTCCTCTCCAGATTTTGAAGACTCACGATCTCTCCCCCAGCCACAACTACATCGTTGTCTGCCACCCGCACGGGCTCATGTCCCATTCGTGCTTCGGCCACTTTGCCACGGAGACTTCGGGCTTCTCCAAGGTCTTCCCTGGCATCACCCCGTACATACTCACACTGGGAGCCTTTTTCTGGGTCCCCCTCCTCAGAGACTACGTAATGTCCACAGGTGAGTTGGCTAGCACAGGAAGCCAGAGAAAACAATGGCTCCCCAAGGGACAGGTTGGGGAGGGGGCAGGAACAGGTGGCAGCATGACCAACTTTGGTCCTGGACAGCTTTTCTAGGCTCCCAAGCCAGATAGGGGGTGTTGGTGGTTCTCCACCTGCTTTGAAGAAGAAAGGAGAAAAGATTCGGGGTGTGGGAAGTGGCCAGTGACCCTCAGCTTTCTCTGCCCACCAGGGGCCTGCTCTGTGAGCCAATCCTCCATGGACTTCCTGCTTACCCAGAAAGGCAAAGGCAACATGCTCATTGTGGTGGCTGGCGGCCTGGCTGAGTGCAGATACAGCCTGCCGGGATCCTGCACCCTGTTCTTGAAGAAACGGCATGGCTTTGTGCGCACGGCCCTGCGGCACGGGTAAGCAAGTGCTCTGGTTCGGCCTCAGGGGAGGGGACCCAAAGGCCCAGCAGGCAAGGAGGAAGGGCTTTTGAGGAAATGGTATCTAAAGAGGGAGGAAGAAGTATATGATTGGTTGTCATTAACTACAGTCATCATAACTAGATACTATATTTTTTTAAAAAATTGACTTATTTATTTGAGAGCTGGAGTGACAAACAGAACGAGAGAGAGAGAGAGAGAGAATATCTTTTGTCTGCTCATTCAATTCCAAATGGTGGCAACACCTGGGACTGGGCCAAGGCTGAAGCCAGAAGCCAGGAACTCCTTCCAGGTCTCCCATGGGGGTGCAAGGGCACAAGCACTTGGACCATCCTCTGCTGCTTTCTCAGGCCCATTAGCAGGGAGCTGGATCAGAAGTGGAGCAGCCAGGACTCGGACCAAAGCCCATATGGAATGCTGGCATCATCTTGTGGCAGCTTAACCTGTTGGGCCACAGCACCAGCCCCATACAGTTTTGACTTTACTTGGAAAATAAAGAAAAGAAAAAAAAAAAAGAGGGAGGGGAAAGCCGTCCCTGGCACAGAGCTGTGACTGAGTGCTGGAGCAGTTCTCTTTTATTTAAACATTTATTTTTTTAAGATTTATTTATTGATTTGAAAGTCAGAGTTACACAGAGAGAGAAGGAGAGGCAGAGAGAGAGAGAGAGAGGTCTTCCATCTGCTGGGTCACTCCCCAATTGGCCGCAATGGCTGGAGCTGGGCTGATCCAAAGCCAGGAGGCAGGAGCTTCTTCCGGGTCTCCCACGCGGGTGCAGGAGTCCAAGGACTTGGGTCATCTTCTACTGCTTCCCCAGGCCATAACAGAGAGCTGGATCAGAACTGGAGCAGCCGGGACTAGAACCAGCGCCCATAGGGGATGCCGGCACTGCAGACAAAGGCTTTACCTGCTAAGCCATAGTGCTGGCCCCTTGCTAGAGAATTTCTGCTTGTGAACAAAGGGTAGAGGGCCCACCTTGACCCAGTCCACCTTCGTGCTAACCTCTTATGTGGGCCACCCCCTTTTATAAATGGGGACTGGATGCAACCCTGGCTCAGAGAGAGCCAAGCTTAGCATGTAGATTGAAGGGAAGGAAGCCAAGTGAAATGGCTCTTGGGTCTTATCTTCCAGTGGCTCAGACCTGGAGCTTCCTGGATTGGGGTGGGGGTCGCGGTGGGGTGGGCTTACTTTCTTTTGCTGCTGGTCTGCTCCTATAGGCAGCCTGGAGTCAGGCATGGAGTTGGGCTTAGGATTGGGGAGCTGGTAGGCAAGACCCAGGGACCACAGGCAGTCAGCATTTCTGGGCATCCAAGGACCTGCTTTTCCTCTGCAGGGTGGCTCTAGTCCCTGCCTATTCCTTTGGGGAGAATGACCTCTACGATCAGCATATTTTCAAGCCAGGAGGCTTGGTCAACCGCTTCCAGAAGTGGTTCCAGCGCATAGTCCACGTCTACCCTTGTGCTTTCTACGGGCGTGGCTTCACCAAGAACTCCCTGGGCCTTCTGCCCTATACTCGGCCTGTAACCACGATTGGTGAGTGGATCCTTCTGCTGGCAGCTTCGGGCTAGGATCCCGGATCCAGTTCCGAGACAGGAGCTTGATGCTGGCTGTGCTCAGAGGCAGGGAGACCAGTTAGGATGAGTGGCGGGTTGGCGGAGTGAGCAGAAAGAACCTGGGCTCGCTTGAGGTTGGGGGCACATGCCGTGGAGCGAGCTCTTCTGAAGTCTGTCTTTTTTTTCCTTCCCTATCATCTCCGCTGGCAGTCGGGGAACCTCTCCCAGTGCCCAAGATCGAGAATCCAAGCCAGGAGACTGTGGCTCAATACCACGCACTCTATGTTGATGCCCTCCGCAAACTATTTGACCAGCATAAAACCAACTTCGGCATTTCAGAGACTCAGGAGCTGGTGATAATTTGAAAGACAGCCCCAGCAGCCTCTCAGCCTGGTATCCAAAAAAACCCCAAGAGGACAAAGGCACCTGTGGAGCTGCCATACCTAACTTGGCCAGTCGTGATTATGTGGCGGGGCTAGGTGGCTGTTTGCTGTGCCCCTCTTCTCAACACCATCTCTTTCTCTTCTCAGCCTTTCTCTCCCTTTTCCTTGGGGGCTACAGGGAAGCAGAAAGGAGGCAGGAAAGACCTAGGGGAGAGGTGACTGTAAGGGCTCCCATAGGAGCAGTGTTGAGGCAAACAAGGGATAGAATAAAAAAACTGTCTCCCGATACTGATGTGCTCCGGCTGGTGTGTTTTGAGGGCTCTAGGATTGCCTGTGCATGTCTCTCCTGCAGCTCTCACACAGCCCATCTCCTGGCCTCGAGACCCCTTCCGCATCTGGCCACATGGAACTGACAACCCCTCCCTGTTCATCTCAGAGGCCTTTGGGAAGATTGAATGACACGGGATGTGATGGCAAGTTTGTCAGTTGGGGAGCTCCGTACAGTTTTGCTCCTTTAAGCATATCACCCATTGAGCAAACACTGCCCCGACTCTCATGGCTTCTCAGTGCCTAAGAGAAAGTTTTGACAGTGGAGAATTTTGTGTTGAAAGTTTCAGTGATTGCTACCCTGTAGTCCATGTTCTGTTTCCGCCTCCTAAAGCTGTAACGAAATGGGTCAGCCTCGGACCTGATTTCTCCCGTCTTTCCTCCAGCAACTTGCCTCTACTTGCCCGGCCCTCTACCTCTGCCCTTCGTTTGAGAGTCAGCCAGTCGTCTTGGGAGGGAAGCGAGGTGCCTGGCGACCAGCCGTCAGAGAGGACTCTTCTTTGGAATAGCAAGCCTCTCCAACTCTTGGCATAATGGTTGTTGCAGTGACAGGTTACATGATTTGGCCCACAGCCCCCTTGTTCCATCTCTCTTGGGTCAGTGCCATTTGAGTCCAGTGATTTCCCGGCGTCCAGTCTGTCAGCTTGATCTAGAACAGCTTGTGTGTTTATCACAGCACGTTCTGCTGCCTCTGCCCTGGGTAGCTTTTCATGGGAAGGTTTGTACACAGGGGGCAGAGCCATGCTTCCACTTTCCTGCGGTCTCTTCTGCCAGAGATCACATTTCCCATGAGCTCCCATAAGGGAGTTGGAAACAGATTCCAGGTGTCTTGTGACTGGTTTCCTTAAAAATAAAAAATAAATAAACCCACTAAGGCAGCCAGAGGACGAGCCTGGCTCCAACATCCAGCCCATGCACCCGTAGCTGCTACAGATTTGTCAAGGGCCACTGTGTGTGCACTCTGTTACTGACGTGTTTCATCCTCCAACCTATACACAGGGGCAAAGGCTGCTGGGTAAAGTGCCCAGAACTCTCTTGAGCTACTCTGAGGGCTTCTTCCTGAGAGTGTACATCTTCCTTAGTGCTGCCTCCGTGAGACTTCTCCACTCAGCTTGGGGCCCAGGTGTGGAAGCAGCAGGGTAGGACGTCCGGTCTCCAGTCTGGGAATCAGACCAGGTGGACACATTTATGAGTTGGGTGACCTTGAATGAGAGCTACTTAAGTTTTTTTTTTTTTTCATTTCTTTTACAAGTTTGGAGTTTTGTTTTTTAGGGTTTTTGGAAAGATTTATTTACTTATTTATTTGAAAGTCGAATTTACACAGAGAAGGAGAGGCAGAGAGAAGTAGAGAAGGGTCTTCCATCCACTGGTTTATTCCCCAGTTTGCCGCAATGGCCGGAGCTGCGCCGATCTGAAGCCAGGAGCTTCCTCTGGGTCTCCCATGCAGGTGCAGGGGCCCAAGGACTTAGGCCATCTTCTACTGCTTTCCCAGGCCATAGTAGAGAGCTGGATTGAAAGTGGAGCAGCTGGGACTCGAACCGGTGCCCATATGGGATGCCGACACTGCAGGTGACGGCTTTACCCGCTACACCACAGTGCCGGCCCGTTTTTTAGCTATAAAATGCCAACAATATTTAACATGTTGCCACATTCACTTCAGACTTAGAGGTTTCATACACACACATACACACTGCTTTTTTTTCTTAAAAAGAGATGTGACTGTCCCAACATGAAGGCTAGATGTCAATGATCACAATGTGCCAAAAAGCACCTAACATGCAGCAAGTACTTAAGCCAGTTTCAAGAACAAGGGAGGGAAAAAGCGCTTTTATTTGCAAAGAATAAACCATTAATTTACACAAACTTACATCCCAGTTTATATACATTATATATAGTTTATATACACAGTATCTCACACTGGATGCTGACCCCCAAAAGCAGCATTGGCCCTGCTCCAGGCCATTCTCACAACAAGGCCCACTCTCCATCCCCCACCCCCAATCCCAGCGGGAAGCTTTCTGGATAAAGAAAGGACACACCGCAACCCCTCCTGGAGAGAGCCCTGAAATGGGCTAAAAGAAAAAAAGTCAGGTTCCTTCTTTGTGCTGCATGGCCTAGGGAGGCCTGAGGCAGGGGTGGGGCCATTCTGGAGCCTTGCAGGCCAGAGGCAGGAGCTGGGCGAGTGCCCTGAGGGGAGGAAGAGTTCCGATGAAGGCTGTAGTTTCTCTCTTCCTGTCTGGGCAGGCTCCTACAGGGGCCAGAGTGCTCCCAGCCTTGAGTCTGCGGGTGGAAGAAAGAAGGGACTGCTCTACCCCTCACTCTGCTGAGTCTGGAGGTCAGGCCTTGGTCACCCCCACTTGGGCGGGGTCACCTGCCCTCAGTGGGCCTCCGTTTCCACCAGAGTAATACAGGGTGGAATTGAGGTTGGACCAGATTCTCGCTGAAGGGCTCTTAGCTCTCAGTTTCTCTGAATCTATTCGCATCCACCAGAAGTTATGTAAAACACAGGCGGATAGAAGTCTTTGTTTCCCTGGAGGGTTCCCAGCCCTTTCCTGTTCAACAAAAGACATTTGGCTCAGGATGGATGAAGGGGAGAAGAAGGCACAGAGTGCATTTTCCAGGCAGCCAGGAGCCCGGCAGCCTCTGACAGCTGCTGTTTGTGCCCGCTTGGCTATCGGCGCCCGGGCAGCTGGCAGAGGCCCCTGCCTTGCAATTCGCCTACAGACCTGTCACTCTGCTTGCCCACAGATGTCCGCGGCCTATTCTCCACGCTAGCGTGGCCCTCTGGTAAACCCACATCAACCTAATTCCAAGTAGTAAATCTACTCCCACACGCGCCCAGCAGTAAATTGCTTCACCCACTTGGGCAACGACTTTGCGGCAAGGCAGTTCCCCAGCTACAGTTTGCTTCCCTCACCATCCAGCCTTCTTCCTCCAGGGTTGGGAGTTGATGAGGGGCCTGGTGGGAACCGGTTTCTCCTCTGTGATCACCTGCATGTCTGGGGCAGTTACAGCCAAAGGCCTCTCTCAGGCCTTCCCTCCGACCCCGGGAGACCCTGCCAGAGTCGAGGCATCTGCCGTGCGGTAGGCAGGGACAAGCGTTTAGCTTATTTAATATTTAGCAGCTGGTGGAGGTGGCCAGCTCCGGTAACGAAAGGGGGACCTTGCCCATAGTCGGGGCTCGCACAGGATGGCTGCTTGGCTCATCAGATGCATGAAAGAACGTGAGGCCTACCAGTTCTGTGGGTGCCCCGGAATATTCCCCTCGAATGAAAACGAGCGCCTCTGGGTTCCTCTCTGGGACCCTCAAGAATTTCACTTTCCCTTTTTTTCCTTTCACTTTTACTGGTTCTCTGTGGATCTCAAACGCCACGCCCTGCTGTGACTGAACCTGGGCGAGCTGTTGGCCAAAGCACTTACCCTCTCTGAGCCTCCACCCAAACACGACCTGTGTCATATCAGCTGCCCTGCCTTCCTCAAAGCAGATAATAAAAGGGAAAGTACTTTTCCGACTTTAAGCCAGAGGTTCTCGGTTGGTTCCTGTGACAACTGCAGAGTGTCCTAGGCAACTTATTTAGGAGTTGGGGGGGAGTCCCACACATGCCTAAAATCTGCCTCGCTTTGGGTTCCAAGACTCACACTGGCACCCAAAATACAGCAGGGGTCCAGCCCCACGATGCCCCGACCCCTTTTCCTGACCCTCCAAGGGCCAAGGGCCAAGCAGTGTGGTTGCTTAGAAAGGGAAGGCACAACTGAGAAAGAAGTCCCTGCTATTCTTGGTGGGTTTCAGCTGCCCGAAGGAACTTCTTCCTCATCACTTTAAAAGGACACACATTTCAAAAGGAAATATGTTTCAGGGGGCAAAGCCGAGTGAAGTAGACAAGGCTGGCCTTCTAAGCTTGGGGCTGGACCTAACACTCAGAAGCCAGGCTGGGCCCTGACAGTTAGAAATACAGGCCCTTGAATGACCCTACCATAGTATCCCAGCAGGGAACCCGGTGCCGGTGCCTCTGGACCTCGACGAAAGGGCAGAGAGCCCTGCTTCTCCCAGGCTAGAGTGAAGAAAGGACTGGGGCAGCAGGGCATCCGCTGCTGTCCTTTCAGATAACACCTGGTTTAATAACCATTTGGGCTGCGGCAAACTGGAACAAAACCCTTTGCCCTTTGCTAGGCTCCTCCTTGCTGATGCTCAGTCTGAGGCTTGGGAGTTTAGAAGGCTCTCATGGCAAGCGCCTGTTAAGACTCACAGATATCAGAACTTGAAGGGGATGTCGGGAGGTGGCCACGGTGGTGGCGGCGGCAGGGGGTGGGGGTTGCCCTCCCGTCCAACCCTTCCTCCACCAGCAGATACAAATCCATTAGGATTCGATGAATATTTGTACTGCTTAGTAAATGGAAAATTCGCTTTGTGCCCAGGGAAGCTAAAGACTATCCCAGACTCACATGAGCACAGGTCCTGGATTAGGCACCTGTCTCAGACAGAGGTAGGCTCTGTGGAGAAAGACAGGAGTTCTAGTGAGGCTGGGGAGGGGACCCCGTGGAGTTTTCTGAGTGTGGTGCCCAGCTGTAAACAAAGTGAGAGACACATGGCCCCCAGTACCGACTCGGGCACTCGGGCGCTCAGGCAGACGGGTTTGTAGCCCTTCCTTGCAACTGCCCCAAGGCAGGGGAGACCGCTGGTCTCCAGAGCCCATCAAGGCTGTCACAGTGTGGCTCTCAGCCTGAGGGGTTAGCGCTCTTCGGCTCTCTTGCAGGCCACGAAGTGGAGCAGCAAAAACCGCTCCCACTATGGAAGATGTCCCCTTGGCAGGCTTCTCCCTCCATCTCTGCCACAAGCACCTGCCTTCCCCCTCCCAGGCCCTCTCCCTTTAGGCTACAGCACTGGCTTCCCATGCCACCCCACCCCCATCCCCTGCCAGGGGAGGAGCATGAGCCCCTTTAGGGTCAGATGGTCACCCCGGACAGAGTCTGGAGCATGCATTTGCTTTCTCTGGCCTGCTGCCCGCAATCCTCATTTTAGTGCAACAAATGACAAATCTGACAACAGGGACCTTAGGGCGGAAGAGTCGTGCCATACAAGCCATTCAACATGGAGCCAAAGAAGAAGGTTCTGCTTTCTGGAAACCCTGGGGCTCCGACCACCGACCCATTCTGGAAAGTCAAGCAGGCCTTGTCATCCTGGAGTCACTGGGGGAATAAATAGCACTGGGGCACTTCTCTCTGTGGCTGCAACACCACAGCAGCACTTAGAGGTTCTGGGAGTCCCGGCTCCCAAACCTGGGCCAGGGGCATGGGCAGGGGCAAGATTGGGGGACAATCTACGAGGCAGGGGCTTCGCCCAGCCTGATGGCCCCAAAGAAGGTGGTGTGCTTGCTCATATTGATAGAGATGTCGGCGTGCACCATCTTCACGGCAATCTTCTGCCGGGCCTTGAGGAGGCAGACGCCCGCCGTATAGCAAGTGTTGTAGTTGGTCTTGCCCGTCTCGATGCTACGGGTGCACTGCAGGAAGGGCTTCTCGTCCACCACCACCTCATAGCTGGCAAAGTCAGTGAAGTTGATGTAGTATACCTGGGTGAGAGGCAACGAGAAGGGATTGGGGAAGAGAGGAAAGAGGGTGGGGCCTTCCCTTGTGGCGAGCAGTCAGAACCTTCTGCGATGATCTGCCAGAATACCTCGTGGAGGGGGCGGTGCCACCTGAAGGTGTGCTAGTTGGCCGACAGCCATGGCAGGGTGACAGCTTATGTGCCATCCCTTCCCACACTCCATGGGGCTCAGGTGGCTCAGCAGATCTTTCTTACGACAGCACGCCTGTCACAAACCCTGTGGGGACAAGAACCATGCCTTCTTCACCCCGTTACCTCCCCTCCTCTTGCCCCAGCTCTGGCATGAAGCACAGTGCTCGGCATACAGTAGGCACTCAATCAGTGCTCCAGATGCAAACTAACTTCCCATTTCAAGCCCCAAAGACTAGCTGGGGATCAACACAGAAGTCATCGATTCCCCCAAAGGGGCCACGGCAACAGGTGCCCATTTCCTCAGCTCTGTAACTTTGGGGTCTCACTCAGCCTGCAGAGCCCCTCCCCGGGCGCTGAGCTTCTCACAGAGGCTCGGGGCCCCTCGCCCCTCTTGTCTGATGCTTGAGGAAACACATCCAGAGAGGTGGAGACCTAGCCACTATGAATGAGACAGAGAATTTGAAAGGGCGGAACCGAGGCCCCTGACTGTGCTTGGCGACCCGAAGGAAGCACTAACCTATGCCCAATGGGGCCTGG